ATGTAACTTTCATATTACATCAAATTGTCTTTTGTATTTTGTGTCCTGTTCCAAATACTAAAAATGACAAAGTCTTATTTTAAAATTCTTCTACAAAAAAACCCTACATCATAAGCTTTCCAATAAGTTTATAATGTGTAATGTTCTCAAACTGATTCAATATTTAAAAATGTTTTGGGGTGCTTTTATTTGTGTATAAAAAGGGAAAACAGTCACTTCCTGTTTAAACCGGAAGAGGCTCGGACTCGCCTGAGAACAGATTCAGAGCCGCAGTTTTTAAAAGGCATAAGAATCTGCAGCCGTCTATTTACTGAATGATGCCGTCTATTTACTGAACAAGTCTGTAGATTTTCGGTCTCTTATTAGCAAAATACAACTTCCGGGTGAGTACTTCCGGTCGAGGCGCACGTGATAATTGTAAACAGAAGCGATGAATGGATTCCGACTTCAGAGTCGCGTGAGGTTCAAGCGGAGGACAGCCCGGCACTGCTTCGTGCCTTTTTGCTCCTCTTCGTCGCGCCACAACCCCACGCTCAGTTTTCACTCCTTCCCCTCGGACTCGGTTCTGCGGGCCCAGTGGGTCGCGAAGATCCACCGGGGCAACTTCACCCAGTCGAAGCACGCTCGCGTCTGCGGTCGCCACTTCCTGCCGGGCGACTTCGCGGTGACCGCCGAGGGGCAGACCAAGCTCCACAAGGGGGCCGTCCCGGTCCTGTTCCAGTGGAACCACTACAAACGACCGGAGCCGCGATCCGTGCGCTCCCCCGCCCCGGCGGTCGCGGATCACGATTACTGCTGGACCCAGTCGGTGGCGCTGGGAGCGGACGAGCTGGTCACGGAGAACGACGTGTTGCAACACACCATCCGGGAGCTGGAGGTCCAGCTGGTCCAGCTGCAGAACCAGAACCGGAGCCATGTTTCTATTCGACCCCTGGCGGGAGTATCGGACGAAGAAGTTCGGTTCTACACCAGGTTTGGGTTTCTGATTATACCGAACTGTCGACAGATCCAACATGGCGGACTCGAGCCAAAAAATGTTTTATTTATTTTTTTAATTTATCACAGTTTAAATCAGTCACAACTAAATGAAACTTATTTTTAAAAATCTGTTCATTTGTAGCTTTTTAACAATATTTGGCGCCATCTTGTGGCCAAAATATAAACAGCAGCTTAAAACTACAGCCTGAAATAAAATAAACAGCTTTATTTGATTAAATTCACACAGCTGCTGTTTAACTTATTATATTCCTTGAACAAAGTGGTTCCTTAAACATGTGTTTTTGTAGGTGGAATAATAAAAACATGATTTATTTAATAAAAAATAATTTAAACCTGCACTTTCCTCTCTCTGCCTCCATGGCTGTTTGTAGTAACTNCTTGAGGCGTTCCAGACCAGAGAGGATGTCTATAATCCCTTCAGTGAGTTCAGGGTCTGGCCCAGCTGGTCCAGTGACTCTGACAGCCACAGGATCAGCAGGATSCACTAAATTTGGACCACAAARCCATTTTAAGGATAATACCAGTTATAGTTTGTTGCTGCAGATTCTCTTGGTGTTATTTCAGGTAAATYCGGTGTCTGTCAAATCTCACCCAGTCGACACCGATCCTCAGGTGAATCCCAACGTAGGGTCGGGTCAGCAGGGTGGCGATATGCTCCTCTCCCTCCTTCACGATCTTGTCTGACCAGACCATGAAGCGCTGCAGCCCCACGTGCTCCTCGATCACAGGGAACTGGGCCGGAGCGCCGGGCAGAGCCAGGATCGGGTGCTCAGAGGCAGGAAACCTGTTCCAGCAAAAAACATTGACACGAGCTGRTCAAGGACAACTCAGTGATCAAACAGGATTTAAAGGTCATCCGGTGAGTTATTTTGCTAACAAACTGTTCAAATAAACCAGGATTGTTCCAGGTTTACTGAAACACACTTACTTCTTCATCCACTGAGGTTGATGGTACACGCTGAAAGAAATCCCACCAAACAAAACTGACTCGTCAAACTCCACGCCGACGTAATCCCAGAACGGACCGAACGGATTCCCGTCCTGGAAATAAATCGGACCCATTAGTCCGGATCGGACTGATGAAACAGGAACTTTTGCTTCACTGTTACAGTTTATAGAGTTGTGGAAAAAATACTGGTCTTGGAAGAACTTTGGGCCACTTTTTTTAATTTTACAGTGTTGATGCCTTTCTGAGCCACCAGKGGAAAATATTTCATCATCATGCTTTTGTTTACCAACATCACTTTACTGGAGTTCAGTAAGTCAAGGCTGACCTTCATGGGGCAGGACTTCCTGTCTGCACTCCGCTGTGCTGCCGTCTCAAAGCAGTAGGCTCTCCTCTCACCCGGGGGCCAGTATTTGGGGGCCAGCTTCTCCATGAAGTCCTCCAAACTGACCACACGGTGGAAGGCCGACAGGGCCTCCAGCTGGAAGAACTCGCTGTAGGGAACGTGAACCTGAGCGGGAGAAATAAAACATGAAAATACACGGTTAGYTTTAACGAGCATTCGCATTAGAAACTGCTGAACTCCATGTTTGCTGGAAACTTTTTGGTTTAAATTATTCTAACAAGAAATGTAACTTTCACATTACGTCAAATTGTCTTTCGTATTCTGTGTCCTGTTCCTAATACTAAAAATGACAAAGTCTTATTTTAAAATTCTTCTACAGAAAAAAACCCTACATCATAAGCTTTCCAATAAGTTTATAATGTGTAATGTTCTCAAACTGATTCAATATTTAAAAATGTTTTGAGGCTCAAGGCTCTGGTGGGCGTGGCCCCTCACGGCGCCGTCACCTTTGTGTCGCAGCTCTACGCGGCGTCCACCAGCGACCGTTGGATATTTAAACACTGCGGCGTCGCGCGGCTGCTCGGGCCGGACGTGGCCATCATGGCGGACGAAGGCTTCCTCGCCGACGCTCCGTGTAAAGTTTACCGACCTGCCATGTCCTCTAAAGCCTACGTGGAGCGGAGCCTCAGGTGGGTGAGGGAGAACAGACTCTTCTCCGGAGACGCACCACTTCCTGTCTGCCTGAGCGTCCACGAGCTCTTCAGCGTGGCGTGTTTTCTGCTCAACTACCAGCGCGGGCTGCTGGGAACGTCCTGACAGCTAAAAGCTAAATATTTAGTCTTTTTTTTGTCGTTGAGTCATTTTGCTGCTAACTTTTCAAACAAGTGGTTTTTTTTTCTGAACAGTTTTAAAGTTTGGAAAGTATTTTTCTACTTGGTTTTGTATCAAAGTCTTTGTTTACTGACATATTTATATTTTTGAATAAAAAAAAGTCTTAACTATTGTGTCTGAACCAGGGTTATTATAGTTAATTAAAACAAAACTAGAAGCAATCTTTTTTTACAATATCTTTCCAAAAATACATTCATTACATTCATACATTCATAACACATGTGTAACAATCGGTGCAGCTTCATCGTCATGATGGAAGCAGAACTTCAGGTCATCTGGATCTTTTCAGGGTTAGAAAATATCGCAATGTCAGTTTTTTCAAATATCGTGCAGCTCTAGTAGCCAAGAGTCCCATCCAGTTATCTTAAGAAATATATTTGTTTTCTGTTGTTTCAGGTCCATCACAGGTTTTCAATATTAAACCAGTGGAAAAATTAGAGCAATGTTTTGAGACTAAAATGTCCAAAACTTCCTTTATTTCATTGCAGATCTGAACAAATATGTTGTCGATCTCTTAGTTGTTTCAAGCTCTGTTTAACAACAATTCATGGATTTTTATTTTTGTGTCACATATGTTGAGCTAAAGTTTGCTGTGGTAGCTGAGAGTCATGACTTGTATTATTAGTTATGACTTAGTGTAAAAAAAAAAGTTTGTTTCTTAAAATGATTTGTGTTTTTCTGTCTCTGAATGCTTTTGTTTTGTTTTGTTGTGGGTAGGCTGTACTTACATTGGTGTAAGGGGGTGTGTGGTGGCGGTACACGATCCAGGGAGGGACCACCAGGGTTCGGTTCAGCATCTTGGCAAAGGCCAGAGATCCCAGGAAGTGGTCTGCCTGGTTCCCAAAGCGACCTGAACGACAAGATCCAAAACTTAACACGATATTCCTCCATGTCCACCTCATATTTATCAACTTTTTTTAAATTTATTGCTTTTAATTCTGTTTTGTTTGACACTGTTTCTGGTTTCGAGCTTCAAAGTTATGAATGAGCGAAGTTGCTGTTTAGCTTTCAGAGACATTTGATCCGAAATAAGGAGCTGTAAATGAATGATTACCCATGCAGGGGCAGTACAACACGTATCCGTTTTCATCCCACTTCAGTTCTTCGCAAGAAACCCAACAAACGTGAAGCAGGAGGAAAGAAAGTAAACATTTTAGTTTGAGGAAGTAGGACGCCATGACTCCGCCTCTTCTTCTTCTACGGTTTTATTGTGTTCACACGAGGCGTAGCACTGCCCCCCGCTGGTGACGAGTGGAACTACAACTAGAAACTGATTTACATCACACTTTGTGATAAAAGGTACGTTTACTTTACGTTTGATCCTTCAGAAAAGTGATTTCTGTCCAGTTTTTATACACTTTAATTAATAAATGTGAACATTTATGTAAATTCCTTCAAGTTTTCAATAGGGCAGGTAAGTTTCCTTTCATACATTTCACTTTTCCTGTAAAAGTTTCATCTCCCACTTTCCACACTGAATTCTGAAAAAAAAAAATACAATTGTTTTTCTTCTGTTCCTGTAGTTTTTGCTGTGTTTTATGAGACAAATATGATTTATTTTGTACCTTTCCCCACAACCCGGGACTGCTAATTAGGGTTAAAACGTGTTTACAGATTAGCTAAAAGCTAGCTGTAGCAGCAATTGTTCCTAAGGTTAGCAGCTAACTAGCCTAACTTAAAAAGTACATATAAGGATTAGCATATGCTCTCCAAAGTTTACTAGCCTGGTTTGAAAGTTTATCCCAATAGGTAGCTGCAAAGTGCTGTACATTTTGAGTTGTTCCAAAAGCTAGCAGCTAACTAGCCTAGCTTAAAACGTGCGCAATTAGCAATTGCTAATCTAAAAAAAAAATAGTAAACTAACCCAGTTTAAACGGTTCTTTCAACAGCTAGCTGAAAAGTAGTCTACCTTAAAGTGTGCCTCCTGCACTTTATAATTTATTTTTCAAAAGATAGCTGCTAAGTAGCATATCTTAAAATGTGCACTACAAGCTACAAAAGCTAACTAGCGTAGCATATTAAAGTAAGTCCACTCTGTTTTATCATTTACAGAAGAATTTGAAATGTAGATTGCTATTTAGAATTGGCAATTTAACTTCAGTTTCTAAAAATGTATATTAAACTTTTGAATTTCATAAAACAAAAAGTTATTTTAAAAATAGGTTTAGTGAACCATATGCTAACTGTAAAGGCTATGATGCTAAGGTAAATTCTGTTAGCTTGCGCCCTGAGTTGGGTGAATTTTTAAATATTACTTTAAGTAGACAGCCTTTTCTTTGGTATAATTATTTAAAATTTAAAGGTTTGTGTTTTTTATATGGATTTCAAACTTTGTGTACTTTGAACACTCACTTTAACACTTTTAGCAACATTTTGCTACTTATAGTTTCTGTTTTTGCTAATTTTAGCTAACTTTAACTAATTTTAACTAACACGCACTACCCTGTCACTCTATGTATTTACAGTTGTTTCTTTTCTATTGTACAGCGTCCTTGTGTGTCCTGAAAGGCGTTTTATAAATAAAATGCCTTATTGTGGCATTTTCACACAACTCTCACACAACAGATCCTTTTTTTTTTTCCGTACATTTTCCGGCTNTCATTTTTATGTTGTAGTTCAGCCTCTGACCACTAGTTGGCAGCAGTGAGCCAGKCATTTGGCTCCTCTACCTGTTGAGCGCCAGAGAGTAAGGGTAGCATTAGCATTGTAAGTAAACATTAGCTTTTCTTTTTTTTTCAGTAAGAGGTTTTTCTTTAATAAAATTTTTGGACAAAAAAATCGCAATATATCGCAATATATTGCCTTGCTTAAAGTATCGCAATATATCGGGATATATCGTATCGTGACCCCTTTGTCATGATATGTATCGTATCTCCAAATTCTTGCCAATACACAGCCCTATTATTTATAACTTTGGAAACTGTTAGTGGACCGATTAGCTTCTGCTAATTTTTCAGTCGACTACAAAAAGTTCAAGTGTAAAACTTCTGTTTTTATGCCCTTCATCCCAAATTGAGTAAGAACCATCCCCTCTTATGAGCACGGCTGTACATGCAGGCACCATGTGGTTAGCATTAGCATCGTTAGCAGCTAAACCTCAAGCTAAGAGCATCAAAAAGTAACTGACTGTAAAAACATAGTAAAAGTATTTTCTGTTTGTTGTCTTTGTATTTTTATAAATACTGTTTGCAGTTAGTCAAACTCGAAATGGTTTTATTTCGAAAGGAGTAAAGTGGAAGTATCGAAAGTATAAGTGGTTTTGATTAGGGGTGTCCTGATCCAGATTTTTTTGGCTCCCGATACAATCCGATTTTTTTATGATTAGTCTTTACGATACCGATCCGATAGCTTTATTTCTTTATTTCTTTCCAAGTGACAAGGTTGGTAGTATTAAAGTGAGCCCTGCTGTTCCACCACCATAAACATCCAGTTTGCAGATTTTTCAGCATCAGTTTTCCATTGAAAAGTGTTCCCACACTGTGGGCATGGTTGTATACTAGGGCTGTGTATTGGCAAGAATTTGGCGATACGATACATATCATAACAAAGGGGTCACAATACGATATATCTCGATATATTGCGATACTGTAAACAAGGCGATTTATTGTGATATATTGCGATTTTTTTGTCCAAAAATTCTATTAAATAAAAACCTCTTACTGAAAATAAAAAAAGAAAAGCTAAT